AGTTTTAACAATGGGTAATTAGATCGTGTATTTTTTTTTAAAAACGAAATAATAGTATGCAGTGCGCATAACATACAATAAATAAATGGATGGCTGCGACTTATGTACAAATGACCTTAGCAGTAATCATTTATTATAATACCATTATTATTACTTATTATTACCTATGCAATTTATACAACGCTGCAAAAAGGCATTTCGTTCAGCATTTTCACTTTTTAATTTCGCGGTGATTAAGGCAGAACATCTTATTTTATTATATATTAACATTGCACAAAAAACTTCTGGCTCGGTTAGTGGCTGTCTATATATAAACATTTTCTGTTACATATTTTATCAAAAAATTGTGTTAAAATGTAAAGACAACTATGAAAAGTGGTTGTACCTACTTTTGAAAACAAGTAACTTCTGGTTCTTTACACAGTACAAAGTATCGACTCGATTTTATATATTGAAAAAATTATAATGTAGTAAAAAAGAAATATCCTTTAAACAAGGCTTCGCCTATTATTAATTTCACTGAAGAAATCTCGATGTATTCATCATAAACGTAATTTCTTATCAAAATATTTTCGAAACAACTGTGTTTGAAATATTTCATGTTTTAATAATTTTTTAATTCTTATTTGTTATTTATAAGAAAGTTTAACTGAAACTGGAAAGATAATAGCAACTTAAGTTTAAGACCACTTTTATGAAACTGTAGAATTTTAAAATAATAGTAACGTCTTGATAAAGCATTCAGCAGATACAAAATAAATGCAATATTAATTAACAGCGTATTCTTGTTCTGCAGATACATTTCAGAACAATCCAAAACCACGTTATTAGTTGTATTAAGGCAGTAAATTATGTAACTATTTGATATAAATACTTTCCTTCAATATTGCACTAAGGTGTAAATATAGTTGCATAAAACATACAAATTTCCTAGAATTTCAATTAGCAACTTATTAATTTCTGAAAGTACTGATCTAGCCTGCCTCAACGAGTAAACATGACGTCTTTTTTTAATAAATATTAAAGTAGGTATAACAACTGTACGAGATTGTTTTTTCTTTCTGTATTATGATAATAAGTTCTAAGTATTTATTATTCTCGTGTAAAAGCTCAAAAAAGGTAATAACTGGCTGCTCGTAAATGTAAGATTGGTTAGAAAATCGTTATTCTTTATGACAAAACTTATCATCATTTTATTTACTGGTAGCCACTCATGCGTATATACGTATTTCTAAATGATGTTTTCATTCATAAAGAAGCTTCCAATTACCATAAAAATAAACTACGATGAATGAAATAAAGGTTAAATCGCAATTTCTTTCGTGGAACATAAACACAACACATTTAATTACAAAAAAATTAAAATTTTGCATTAGAATAGACACCAGACATTTTAAAAATGCGTTTACTTACACATTATTCAAAAATGTAAATAAATGGTCTATTCTTAATTATCTTGAAGATACCCTATGCAGTCATGAGACAAACGAATGTAATCATTCGAAATGTTCAAAACATATTAAAGGTATTAAAAATATAATTATTTCCGGCTACTTTTTTAAATACCAAAAATATCCGCAGTTTCGTAAATAAACTTCATTGTCATTTTTTTAAACTTATTGAGAATAGCATATTATTAAAACAGATTAAATTTGTACGGTTTAAAAAATAATAGAATATCATTCAGTAAGAAATTCCTACGATTCGTTAGTTGTAAATCTGGTATACTTTACTTAACTTTCATTAAAATTTGCGACTATTTACTATATATCAAAATACGACCGTTTTAAATAATTAGTTTTTGAATAAAAGTTATTATTATTATTATTGGATTATTAGAAAGTACTTTGTCAAAGACGGTCAACATATTTTAATTTTGTTACAAATTTTGATAATCTTCATACATATTTAGAGCAGAGTACTTTTCCTTTACTTCTCAAATACAGTTGCTTTCGCAGGACGATCTCGTTAAATAATTTTGAGCCTAACGATAAAGTATCGTACATTAGTACCTAGCTAATTAAATACTTAAAAATATGTCAATGTCTACTTTTGGACATCACAGATTTCATTCGTACTATCGTGTAGCGTAATTTTACCTTCTGTTGTTGCATCCTTATAATCGTCATCACCGTCGTTGTTTGGATAATTTGACTCCTGGTCCTTGTTTGTCTCTCCATTTTGCTCACATTGGGTGGCGGTCTCACTGACGTCCTTTATAACGTCTTCAACTAGACTTCCGGCAAACTGTTGCAGTTCCGTGTTTGTATTAGATACGGTAGTATTTTTGACACGTTGGTGGACAGGAAGGGGCAGTGAAGATGGTCGACTTTGTTTATGAAATGGAAAGAATTTTGCTGCTTCTCCCTGGAATTTGTATGATATTTAACGTAAATATACTTTAACAGACGACAAAATAAAATATATTTAGAATATACACTCATTTTAAATCATGTAATAAAATTTAATACAGAACATACTTTTAAAAAAATTATATCTGAACACAAAAAAATCCTTTGATTGTAAAAAAGCTTGATTCGAATTATGCTAAATATTTGACAAATAAAGATCATAATTTTATTAATGATGATTAAATTTTACATTATAAAGGTAAAAACTATAAACCGTCACTTTTGGAAATTATGAAAGTTAACAAATTGAAAAAGATCAATTTACTTTTAAACCTGTTTTTAAACACTCATTAACCACCAGGATACATGCTTCACATTCTTACATTAATTTTATTGTTATACTTCTGATGAAACCGTTGTTAATGTTGTGTTTTTTAATATAAAAAATATACTATATTTTACGGCATTGATGCTAAATTGATAACATTTGACACTGCAGAAGAAATTATTTAATAAACAAAATTTAAATAAAGGTAATATGTATACATTTCTATCTGTGTATAAGTACTAATATTTTAAAGTGGTAAAGCTTGTACACTTGGATGTAGGAGGTAATTTCCAAAACTACTCATATGATTTCATAAATTCGTTCATGAATATTTAGGACTTGACCTTCCCGGTGGAGACCAATTTTGCAACATAAGTCGATGAAAAAATGCTCTTATGAATGCGTTTTTTAACGATAAGAGATATATAAACGCTTTCTGTAGAAAAGTTGTAGAGCTAAAAAATGCCTGTAAAAAAATTCTCGACGACATATATTTATATTGTTGCATAGTATCCATAAATTCTTATTTAGGTTGCTGGTACAAAGTTGCTACATCTAAATTATTTATTTATAACTGCAAGGCAACGTCTACTACTAGGTTAGTAGGTTAATTAGCAACAGTTGAAATGGTAGAATCAATAATAAATGAGGAGTCGAATCCAAGATCACGAAGAAACAAATTAATGCAGGGTGAAGAGGCGGCTTGCTGTTTTCCCTCACTCTGTGATGTTTCCCTAATTTTTTTTTACGCTTCCCAATAATTATTGACAGTTATTCTAAATTATATAAATTCGCTTTTAATATTACATTAATTTAGTTAAGCTTCTAAATAAATATATAAAATTCGTTGTACAAGTTGATAAAGTATACAGTGCATATTACAGTAACAAAGTGACTACTTTTTCTCAGAAATAATAATTATTAACATTCGGTTTTGTTCAGTTCATCATGTATTAATATGGTTGTGGTGAGGTAAATCAATTGTGGTGAAATGTTCTGCATCAGGGTTTACGTGGTATACCCTATACACTAGGTCAGGCTATAGTGGGAACAGTATTCCTGATTGACATATGGGAACTGCTATGCACCATTGGTTTAGGTTAGGTTATGGTGAGAGAGGATTTCCTGATTTTCATATATAAAGTGCCAAGCACCAGGGATAATAAGGGATTAGGTTTTGTTACGGTAGGGGGATTGCCACAATTAAAATATAAATGTTATGCATCATCGACAACGGCACCTTTCCGTCCAACTTTGAGTGGCTTTAACTACTTATCCTTAGTAGCATACCAAAATATGTAAGACCGACTCACCTGAGGGGTATGGACAGCACTTATTTCTGTTTGGGTGGCAATTGCATCTTTGATTTGTTGGTGAATCCCCGATGTCTGGCTCAAGATGGACATAAATTTGATCATATCTTGCATTGAACCTTGGAGTTGTTGAATCTGTCCATAAAATCGAAAAAAATACTCCAATTACTGCTTTTTTTAACTTTATATTAACTTTCAATATAATAGTACAGTTATTATAAACAAGTAGAATATTATTCAAAAGTAAAATTTGCAACTTTGTTTCTTTTTTCATTCATATTTTTACCTGAGACTGAAGCATACAGCAAGTTTGAGCAAGATCTCTGACCACTTCTGAACTGTTCAGCGTAGCATCTGGTGTTTGATGATTGTCTCCGCTCTCAGACTGCTGAAGCGTTGACACTTTCTTCCATAATGCATTTATCGCCTGCATTTGCAGCATTTGAATTTTACGTTCGCTTTCTAACGCTGCCTTTGTAGATTCCATATCGGTAGTAAGCTTTCTGGTAACAAATAAATGCTATTGTTTTGTTAAATGCTAGGTATTGCAAGATATTCAAAACAACAATATGGTATAAACGCCTTGTGTGTTTAAATCGTAAAATTATTGCATTTTATTAATTAAAGATATCATTTGCAGTACGTTTCTAATATATTGTCGCGAATTTTATTTATCGTGAAGCTGTGAAGAAAATTCATAATCCTACTTTCATACTCACTCAATGTACTGTTGCGCTCTTTGAGCTTGCAAACCCTTTAGCATGTCTATCACTTTTTGATCCTTATTCCTAGTATAGTAGCCACGCCAGACCTTTTGAATTTTAACGGCAGCCCTTTCAACTTTATCCTCATTGCTACTATTAGTTGTCACTTCCGGATTTCGTTGCAGTCGCTTCGCTTCTTCGGCTTTCATTTGGATTGTTTGCAGCTTAGACACACAAATTTCTGACTCGTCATCGCTACTTATTGACTTACGTAGACACGATGGCGGTGTCTTGTTATTACTATTTGATGTCGTTTCACATTTCCTAAAAACAGAAACAACGTAATGAACAAGTAACACAAAAACTAACGTAATTTTGACAATTTCAGTGTCATACGCACGTCATACAAAAATGATTTTCATTGTACACATATTACTTACATTTAAAAGTAATTTACATACAATGAAAATCGAATTTTCGAAAAGCCTAGCCGAAAATCAAAAATTCTAGTTTTTTTTTTTAGTAAAGGGAGCACTACTGTAGCATAAAGCAAAAGCAAAAGTTCTCAGTTGTCTATACTCGCATATCTATCAAGCAATAACGTCAATATTGCTCCTGAGATCTTTCAGAGATGTGCTTTTAGATTATAATTGACATTTAAAGAGGTAATACTCTTTATTGCTTATTAACAATATATGCAAAGTTTACTCTGCTAAAGACAAGGCCAAATTGAAGCATGTTCATGCAAATTACAGGTCAGCTATTTTGATTTTTAAATTTCAACATTCATACGCTAATTAGGATGACCATCCGTCCGGAATGGAATCATAAAATTCATTAAAATGACCAGAATTTACACCAAAATAAAAAACAGAACTAGAGTCCCTGAGCGTTAAAATATAACATAAAGTGGTTCTTTTCAAAAACTCGTGTAAACTAAATAAATAGTAAAAGTAAAATAATACAAACAATAAACAAAATTATTAATCAAAACAACCTACAGCACTAATCTTCAAGAATAACAAACATTAAAAGAAAAAAATAAATTAGAAAAGGCAAGAAAGCAGCGGATCATAACCAGACTAGTGTAAACCGATTTTATAACCAATATGCTGATTTTGAAGAGAATTATATATATATATATATGTATTATACATATACCTACGGTCACTCTAACTAATTAACGTTAATGCATTTTTTCTTAATTTTCATGCAAATCGACAAAAAATTGCATTGAAATGTTATAAGCGACACCGAAAGTCCTTGTACATTGTTTTTCATGCAAAACGACGAGACATTTAATCAATGTGTCAGTCATTTTGAATTTTTGAAGTCTGATGTAAAATCGTTAACTCCGAAAATGCAATTTGTCATGTAAATAATACCATTTCTTGAAAGTTCAACTAGCCTGAAGCGTAGTGAACAACATCACAGAACCTAACTTAACCTACCAACCATTGCGAGATTCAATAACGTTCGACAAGACCTTTTTCAAATAAGGTTATCGACTTGTTAAACTGAATTATTGCATCCCGCAATGAATGGCAGATTTCTGCGGATGGCGTTCACTGCGTTGTGCGCATCTATTCATTAAACGTTTAATAGCAGCAAGTGAATTGAAGCTGTCGGAGTTGTCTATGGCGAGCTGATGAGAACTAAAGTGTTCGAAAATGCGATTTAAATCCGACAGTTTCAACATAATATTGACCAAGAACATATTTTTGAACTTACGTTAGGTTTTGGGCATTCTTCGTCTGTACACCCTTCCTAAGTTCCGATCCCTTTGTTCTGTTAACTGCAGCTCGTGACATTCGAGGACTTTTCGTAACCGGAATGGCTTTTGACTGTGGTTTTATGTTATTTACAGGCGGTGATTGAGTTATTCGATTAATTAAGGGTGATGGTCGATAATCAGGACTCATAAGAGATTCAGGTACCGGCACTAATTTAGTAAGAGCTTGTAACGGAGTATTAGTGAGTTCTAAAAATTTTAATAATAAAAANATTTAAATTATTAAAAAAATATAAAAAACTAATAGCACATTGACTACTTCATATAATGTGAATGTACCAGTGTTCTTATGTATTTTCATTTAAAAGTTGACAAGCTCCGTTTCAAAAATTAATTTTCAGCATAACGAGGAGGGCATTGTAGGGATGGCCAATAAGGGACCAAACACAAACAATTCACAATTTTATATTACAACTGTCCCTTGCAACCATTTGGATGGTCGAAATGTAGCATTTGGAAAGGTGGTGAGAGGACTTAACGTAATTAAAGAAATGTCAGATGTACCACGAAACGAAGATGTACCTTTGGAGGTATGATATTTCAGAAATAAAGATAACTGGGGACACTTAAAAATTTAATTAAATGACTGTTAGTAAAATGAATTCATACCAAATGACTTCTAATACAAAAACTTCCCTCCTCTTCTCTTTTTTATATTTCGAACAAGCTTCAATTTTTTAACCATTAAATTAAAGAATGGTAAATTAATCCAGACATCAGTTTAAATCGCGTGTCAAGGGTTCCTTACATTCATTTACAATTTCTGTAGTATATTACATTAAAACAGAGGCAAATAAGGACAAAAATTCAATCATTTTATTTTTCTCGTAATATTAACGTAATGCTTTCTTGCTTTAAATTTTTCGGCCTGCACATTTCGAAAATAACAACAGTAAGGGTCCTTTTTGTCTTTTTGAAACGGGACCCTTTAAGTAAATAATCATGTTTCAACAAAGCCTAATAGTTCAGTTCAAATATTTCGGAATAATTTCCTTTTTTGTTATAATAAAAAAGTTTGAATTTCTACAAACTAGCGCTTGCAAAATGACGTCTCATTTCTCCAGCATTTCAGAATAGTTTATGGTAAATTTTAGCCATGTGTAATAGAAGATTGTGGAGAACTAAAAAATGGGGCGCCGTTAGATGTTTCCGAACACGACAGTACCGAAGATACATTTCCTCCTTGGCCTGACGATTGGGAAATTGAAACGGAAAAACAACCCGACGAATTTATCAAAGCCGCTAGTATGATTAAAAACTCTGGAAATTTTTACTATAAAAACAAACAATTTTATGATGCCCATAGAAAATATAAAAAAGCGATAAGATATATAGAGTACTTAGAAAAGAAAAAGTTACCATTTAATGAAAAAGAAGCTCATTCGGTCAAAGTAACGTCAATGTTAAATTTTGCGGCTGTAAAATTGAAGAAAGGAAAGCACTTGGATGCATTAAAAGTCTGTAATAAGGTAATAAAATTATGTAAGTTAATAATGGAACATTAAAAAAAATGTTTGTAGATTTTAAGTATAAATCCAGACGACAGGAAAGCTTTATTTAGAAGAGCACAGGCAAGAGTGGGTCTAAAAGAATATGACGAAGCATTAAATGACTTAAAAAATTTATTGAAATTGTATCCAAAGGAAAAAGAAGTAATTAACGAACTGGAAAATGTTATGAAACTAAAAAGTAACTATTTATTAAAAGAAAAAATCCTTTTTACTAAAATGTTTAAGAATATGCAAAGCTAAACAGTGAACGTTTTTATTGAACTGTGAAAAGTTACAATGAAATTATGAATTTAGTTTAATCAGGATAATTTAAATGTGCTTTCAAAAGAGATATTTATTTTATTACCGAAGGAATTTTATTAACGCAAAAAGTGCAAACGCATTACCTTCAACAAACGCATATAATTAAAATAATATGTAATTAATCTAAATTTAAATGTAAATGTTATTATTTTAAACTGGGAAAGAAGCAATTTTTGTTAACTAAAATGCTTTAATGTTGAAATACTTTTTTCTGTTACTGAAAAATCGTTAGAAAATATTTAAATAAAACTATTATTGTAAATGACTAGTACTTAAAATGGTGTTTTATTTAGATCTTTTAATTGTTAATTAAGTTTTTTAAAATAGATAAATTTAAACGAATTAGAATGCAAAAATAAATTTCCATAATAACTCGATAATCTTGCTAAAATGAAGATATGTAACTAGATAATAAAGACCCGATTAATAAGGTTGTTTTACCAATTCCAAATAACTATTAAATTAAAAAACGATTGTGATTTTTATTGGAAATGTATAAGACCAAGTAATACTGATGACAGAGTACTCGAATTCTAATAATATTCAAACTACCTGATATTTTATGTTTTTATCGAATTCCCTGATGATTTGTTAGAATATCTATTTTATTTATAACGAGCATTTAGCTGCAACTTCGCGTCAAACTATTTGCAACAACCAATTGCCTTAAAGGAGTTTCTGAGAAAATGTGCAATCCGATTTACACTGGTGACGAACAAAAACTTGTTTATGTATGTAACTAAACAAGCACGAAGTCGAAAAGAAGTTGTTGATTATGCAAATCCTTTATATATTACAAGAAAAAGGGAGTTTCACGGTTTGTAAGATACTTGACAAGCAGTAATTTAAGGATAATGACATTTCCATTCACAGGTCTAAGTAACACCCCTAAAAAATATACAAATGATTTCTGTTCTTTTGTCCACCCAAAAAATTTTTAATGGTATATTAAGATTTCTATTGATAGAGATAAGTAAATAAATGATTAAAAAAAACTAAAAGACCCGACTCCAATTTAAAAAATACCAAGTTTAAATTATTAAATACCTTATAGGTACGAGAGTTCTTTACATTTTCTTAACGTTGGACTGACCCTTCCCGGTAGTTTATACTATCCTAATTTATTAAGATTCGAAAAAATTACTATAATGCATTGCTAAATTAAAGTAAATTTAAATGCAGGCGGGTCCCATTAAATCTAATAGAGTGCGTCCCGCCTGCATTTAAATTAACAACGTATCATAATATCGAATCTCAATAATTACGTATTAATTAAGCTTTCCTAAATTAGGATAGTATAAACTACCGGGAAGGGCGAGGGCAAATAAAATAAATCTTGCCCTTCAATGCTCATATTGTAATTTTGGGAATTGTATTGTGTTATTGAGTAGTAAATTTTGTCTTATTTATGCATCCATACCACAATCTCCTATTTCATCAAGTTATGGACAGTATATTGCCATCTACTAACATTTACTGCTAACTGTAGTATTTCAAATGTGTGACGATGGTCTTACGAAACACGTAAAGCAAATAAGAATATGTTCTATATATGTATAGAAAGTATTTTAAATTATAATTGAGATCCACAACTTCCCTTATTCTGCCTAACATTATTTTCTGATACATTCTACGTACTAAAAATTAATAACTGAATAAAGCAATGCGCTGTGACATATAGAGTTAGTTTTGAAGATTGCATTTGTTCTACTATGATATGAAAAAATTTTATCGTTTATCTACCATATATTACAAATATAAAGGCAAATATTTTTTATTGATAGTAAAGTTTTAACAATGGGTAATAAGATCGTGTATTTTTTTTTAAAAACGAAATAATAGTATGCAGTGCGCATAACATACAATAAATAAATGGATGGCTGCGACTTATGTACAAATGACCTTAGCAGTAATCATTTATTATAATACCATTATTATTACTTATTATTACCTATGCAATTTATACAACGCTGCAAAAAGGCATTTCGTTCAGCATTTTCACTTTTTAATTTCGCGGTGATTAAGGCAGAACATCTTATTTTATTATATATTAACATTGCACAAAAAACTTCTGGCTCGGTTAGTGGCTGTCTATATATAAACATTTTCTGTTACATATTTTATCAAAAAATTGTGTTAAAATGTAAAGACAACTATGAAAAGTGGTTGTACCTACTTTTGAAAACAAGTAACTTCTGGTTCTTTACACAGTACAAAGTATCGACTCGATTTTATATATTGAAAAAATTATAATGTAGTAAAAAAGAAATATCCTTTAAACAAGGCTTCGCCTATTATTAATTTCACTGAAGAAATCTCGATGTATTCATCATAAACGTAATTTCTTATCAAAATATTTTCGAAACAACTGTGTTTGAAATATTTCATGTTTTAATAATTTTTTAATTCTTATTTGCTATTTATAAGAAAGTTTAACTGAAACTGGAAAGATAATAGCAACTTAAGTTTAAGACCACTTTTATGAAACTGTAGAATTTTAAAATAATAGTAACGTCTTGATAAAGCATTCAGCAGATACAAAATAAATGCAATATTAATTAACAGCGTATTCTTGTTCTGCAGATACATTTCAGAACAATCCAAAACCACGTTATTAGTTGTATTAAGGCAGTAAATTATGTAACTATTTGATATAAATACTTTCCTTCAATATTGCACTAAGGTGTAAATATAGT